GGAATTTCGCGTGCCGCGTTTCGTACATCTCGGCGAGCGCTACAAATTACGCGGAGAGACGTTTTTTCGTTTACGGTACCCGTTTCGAATAAACGAACCTCGAACGTCGTCAAGAATGACTTTTTTGCGTATAAAGCGCGCTGCTTCGCCGTATATCAGCTATCTCCTCCGAAGATAAAGGAGCTACGAACCTGACGATTTTTGCGTGAGAAAGCCCATGCTTCGGACACTCTTTTAATACTATTTTCATCATCATTATTCGTTTACGTTGAAAAGTTTCGATTTTTAAAAATTCCTCGACAATACGCTACTTTTCGACGCGTGAAAAAGTCACCTTGTCATCCGGCTCTGTCCTCGCTTATTACTACCGTACGTGAGCGAGTAAAAATTATACAGCTATCGAAAAATAACGATAATGAGCTGACGAAACGATTCTGACCGTCAGAATTACCGTCAAATTTCGAAAAAGTAAACTTTGAGCGCCTCAAAAGTACCGATGACAACCGTTTTTCGGCGTACTTTGTCTTCGTCGATACGCACCTGCGTTACGGAGCGACGTAGCTACGATTTTTTTTCGCAAAACGAAGGCCAAAGTCTCCTGATTAAACCGACATACGACACGTTACCCGATCGCATTTTTTAAACTCGGCAGATTAAAATTCAAAGATATGCACACATTTTTAGTTTGAGTTTCAATTTTGAATTTCCCCTCCAGATCCCCGGATTCCTGTTAGGCGGGGTATTGTAGATACGATCGTATTACGAAAGCGAGCGAGTGCGAGCGAACGTCAAACGTGCATTTTCGGCTTCATGACTATCGCTTCATCCAATATGGATCACGCCAAATAATTGTCCTTTTTTGCGTGAAAATCAACATTTTCGAAAAGATTCAAAATTTCTATATTCCATTGTCTAAACGGACCGGACTAGAGCCATTAAAATCGGATGAATCTAGTAGTTTTTTATGTTTACAGATTGCGATGTCTACCGCCAAAGGCTGCAATTATTCTTTGACGTTCATCAATTTATTGAAATCATCATCGGTTTATAAATACGATAAAAATATGATTGTAAGCCCCTATTCATGTTATAATTTTACAATATGGCATAAAGCTCCGCTTTTCCAACCGATTGATATAAAGCGTATGTCTGATTGCATCACCTCCGATTTCTAACCTACAATGTATGAATGTAAACATTATCGAAATCTTAATAATGAGGCTCCCGTTAATAAGGATTAATTAGAAGCTTAGAACAAGCAATCGCAGCTACAAATAGTGAAAGTGTTGTGAAGTGTTTACAGTTTATGTGTTTCTATTGCAAACGTAAGTAGTCAGTCACTTCTATGAAGTTCAGTAAGAGTTCAGTCTTGACCCTCAGTTCAATTATCTAAATATGTAGACCTATTAGCTGGCTAACAGTGGCACATATTATCAAGCAGATGAAGGAATATGCAAAGCGCTGAAAAATAGCATTGATAATCATATCTACTACCAAAGTTTTCAAAATTACTAAGACTTTCACAGCCACTGCAGTTGTTTATTTTGATCTCAATGCAGAATGTATGTACTTCGATTTAGAATGTAGCTGCTTTAAGGACTTGTCACTTCCAAGACTTGTCAAAACAACAGACACCATTACTTGTCAAAAAACTATAGCACTTGATGATTTCAAATTTCTATTCTGTTTTTAAAGATGTTATTATATGTCTAATTTCAAGGATACTCACATCTGTCCTGTTTCTAAGACTGATCTTAATCATAGATTACAGAAAAATTCATTATTGAATCAGAGGAAACAGATTACAAAATTTGATTTTCAAGCGATACTATTACTTACTGTCCAACAACTATAGTACTTAATAATTTCAAGCTTCTGGTCTAATTTTTTGAGATGTTATTATTATATGTCATGTTTCTAATTGATTGATCATAATCATACAACATTAAAAAAATAGAGGAAATTTTATTTTAAAGCGATAGCACATTTTTCTCCAGATCATAAAGCGAGCATTGTTCATCTGCTTCTGTTGAATTTTTCCCAAACGAAGAACTTTACCACCAACAAACTCATAAATATTGTAAAAACCTTGTAGTAGTAGTATCTCACCTGAGTAGTATGTATAAATGGAAAATAAGTAAACAAACTTGTCATCTATCCCTTCGATTGGCAAATATTATCAAGCAGATGAAGGAATATGCAAAGCGCTGAAAAATAGCATTGATAATCATATCTACTACCAAAGTTTTCAAAATTACTAAGACTTTCACAGCCACTGCAGTTGTTTATTTTGATCTAAATCGATTTAGAATGTAGCTGCTTTAAGAACTTGTGACTTCCAAGACTTGTCAAAACAACAGACACCATTACTTGTCAAAATTTGTAAGATAAGTACTCTTGCACAGTATAATCGTAACTTGGTATAGACATATTTGTGATATCGCTTAGATTAAGCCTGCCAGGGGAGTGAAAGTTACCTATACGAGTACTGAACTCTACATTAAAATAATTTGATGCCATGTGTTGTATCTAAACTATTTTTATTTCTGCAGATCACATAATTATTACATACATCCCTTAAAAGGGCCCAATTTGAAGTAACATATTATAGAGTTCAATTTTCACATTGTTGTTATTTTTACGGGTTCTTCTTTCTGGCGATGGAAAGTTCAATTGCTTCTCCCTATTATACCTAAACAATGTAGGTCTATTTTCTTTTTTCCCATCCACAAAGTGACAACTACATAAGTATGCACCAGGACCTGGTTCAACAACTGTTCTCCTGCAATAAATAGTAAAAATAAGACAAAAGTTCAATTTGAAAATATCCTATCAAAGAACGGTACTCATGTGAATAGCAATATCTAAATACAGCATTTTTTATAAGCAAGATACACACATTAGCGGATCGCTCAGTTACATACCTGCTTGTAAACTAACGGCCTTATTTTCAACAAAAATTGTTTTAAAACTCCACTTTAACCACTTGATACGGAAGAAGTTTTCTCAAGTTTTCTGTGTTTATGTTTACTTTTTTTTTAGTTTTACGGATTTCCTTACTATGATATTTAGGAATTAACTTTCAGAATCTTAATTTTTCCTTTCATTATGTTGTAGATGCACACATCTCACAATAGGAGTTATTGAATTTTAATTTTAAACAAAATACATTTCATTTTCCAGGTTAGAAAAAATTACCTATGACAATGACATTGACATTACAAAACAGAAAACATATACACTGAAGAAAGCATAGTCCACTGCTATCCATAGACGAACACGGTTGACATATGTCAGTGTCAAGCGCCATTTTTTTGCAAGTCGTGTTATAGCTAGATTTATGCGACGATCCTCATAAATCTAAGTCTGCTATACAATTTGCTACATGGAAGATTTTATAACGCCATGTATGGTATTAACAACAACACATGCGACGTTGCCGGCATCTCACATAAATCTGAGTCTGTTATACAATTGTATACAGGATATTTTCAATGCTATATGGAAAATAACAGATAACAGGTAAAAGGTGGTAACAGGTAACAGGTGGTAACATATAACAGATAACAGATAACTTATAACAGATAAAAGATGACAGATAACAGATAAAAAGTAACAGATAAAAGAAAACAGATAACAGATAACAAATAACTGATAACTGAAAACTAAAAAATGAAAACTGAAATCTGAAGAATGAAAAATGAAAAATGAAAAATGAAAATTGAAAATTAAAAATCAAAAATCAATCAAAAATCAAAATCGAAAAATCGAAAATCGAAAAATCGAAAATCGAAAAAAAATCGAAAAATCGAAAAATCGAAAAAATCGAAAAATCGAAAAATCGAAAATCGAAAAATCGAAAAATCGAAAAATCGAAAAATCGAAAAATCGAAAAATCGAAAAAATCGAAAAATCGAAAAATCGAAAAATCGAAAAATCGAAAAATCGAAAAATCGAAAAATCGAAAATCGAAAAATCGAAAATCGAAAAATCGAAAAAAAAAATCGAAAAATCGAAAATCGAAAAATCGAAAAATCGAAAAATCGAAAAAAAAATCGAAAAATCGAAAAATCGAAAATCGAAAAATCGAAAAATCGAAAAATCGAAAATCGAAAAATCGAAAATCGAAAAATCGAAAAAATCGAAAAATCGAAAAATCGAAAAATCGAAAAATCGAAAAATCGAAAAATCGAAAAATCGAAAATCGAAAAATCGAAAAATCGAAAAATCGAAAAATCGAAAAATCGAAAAATCAAAAAAATCGAAAAATCGAAAAATCGAAAAATCGAAAAATCGAAAAATCGAAAAATCGAAAAATCGAAAAATCGAAAATCGAAAAATCGAAAATCGAAAAATCGAAAATCGAAAAATCGAAAAATCGAAAAATCGAAAAATCGAAAAATCGAAAAATCGAAAAAAAAAAAAAAAAAAAAAAAATCGAAAATCGAAAAATCGAAAAATCGAAAAATCGAAAATCGAAAAATCGAAAAATCGAAAAATCGAAAAAATCGAAAAATCGAAAAATCGAAAATCGAAAAATCGAAAAATCGAAAAATCGAAAAATCGAAAAATCGAAAAATCGAAAATCGAAAAATCGAAAAATCGAAAATCGAAAAATCGAAAAATCGAAAAATCGAAAAATCGAAAATCGAAAAATCGAAAAATCGAAAAATCGAAAAAAATCGAAAAATCGAAAAATCGAAAAATCGAAAAATCGAAAAATCGAAAAATCGAAAAATCGAAAAATCGAAAAATCGAAAAATCGAAAAATCGAAAAATCGAAAAATCGAAAAATCGAAAAATCGAAAAATCGAAAAATCGAAAAATCGAAAAATCGAAAAAATCGAAAATCGAAAAAAATGAAAATTGAAAATTGAAAATTGAAAATTGAAAATTGAAAATTAAAAATTAAAATAGAAAATTAAAAATGAAAAATTAAAAATTAAAATAGAAAAATGAAAAATGAAAACTGATAACTTATAAAAGATAACAGATACCAGAAACCAGATACTAGACACCAGATACCAGACACCAGATACCAGATACCAGATACCAGATACCAGACACCAGATACCAGACATCAGATACCAAAACCAGATACCAGATACGAGATACCAGATACAGATACCAGACACCAGACACCAGATACCAGATACCAGACCATACCAGATCAGACATCAGATACCAGACACCAGAAACCAGATACCAGATACGAGATACCAGATACCAGATACAGACACCAGACACCAGATACCAGATACCAAACACCAGATACAGATACCAGATACCAGATACCAGCCACCAGAAACCAGATACCAGATAAAGAGATAACAGATACCAAATACCAGATACCAGACACCAGATACCAGATACCAGATACCAGACACCAGACACCAGATACCAGACATCAGATACAGACACCAGATACCAGATACCAGATACCAGATGCCAGACACCGGATACCAGATACCAGACATCAGATACCAGACACCAGATACAGATACCAGATACCAGACACCGGATACCGGATACCAGACATCAGATACCAGACACCAGAACAGATACCAGCCAGATACGAGATACCAGATACCAGCCACCAGAAACCAGATACCAGATAAGATGATACAGATACCAATACCAGATACCAGACACCAATACCAGATACCAGATACCAGATACCAGATACCAGACACCAGACACCAGATACCAGACATCAGATACCAGACACCAGACCAGATACCAGAACAGACCAGACACCAGATACCAGATACCAGACATCAGATACCAGATACCAGATACCAGATACCAGACACCGGATACCGGATACCAGATACCAGATCAGATACCAGACACCAGAACCTGATACCAGATACCAGATACCAGACACCGGATACCGGATACCAGATACCAGATACCTGATACAGATACCAGATCAAAGATGCCAAAGGATAAAAATGATTAGAGATAGTTATCGCTAGCATTGCATTAGCATACCAGCAACTGCGCTACGTGAGGTTTTAAATAAAGACATCAACGTACAATATTTGGCATAGCGTTAGCATGCCAGAAACTGCGCTAGTCGACTATATTAAGCGGTGATCGATTGTTTTTGAATTGGAAGGTCACGTGACGTTAGAGTCAGGCCGTGCGACGTCGACGCGGTTTTCGCGGTTTTTTAGGAGGTTCGCGAAACGTTCGGAGGGAAAGAGGTACCGTTTCGGAAAGTAGAAACTCGGCGCTTTACCGGGGGCGGGACCCGTCGCGGCGAGAGGAACGGATCGGATCGAAAACGGCCGG